TGGTAACAACCGAACCCCGCTGGCACATGCTTAAACTACGGCTTGAAGCCCGAAACCCTCGTCGAAAGACTTTTTTCATGGCAATTACCCGTCATCTCGAAAACTTCGCCCCAGATCCTTTACAGCAATGATTCGCAGGCTCTCCAGTTGTATCATCATAGGTGTATACTAATTACATAGAGGTTGCAAGGGGAACAGAAGTCCTGCTTGTTGAGGCTGGGAGAACCATCTTTAATCCGGGCGACACTCATCCGAACCAACGGAGATGGCTTTCGCCCTCTTCGCCTTCACCCTGCTGCTGGGAACTGGTTCCTCGCGAGCACATCCCGGAAGCCAGCATGTTTATGGCATCAAGTCTCGCGCGAGTCCAAAGCATAAGATTTTTCAGACACTCGTTGCTTGTCTGCCCCTTGAAACCCCTTTTCCTGATGAAAACATTTATATAATAAGGTTTCGTAGCTCCAAGTGGGGCAGCCTTGCACTGGGTCGTTGCGAGCAATACCGAGCACTATCACTCGCGCTGTCAGTATAGTGCTGCTGCAGTCGTGTTAGACTTATCGAGAAAGGAGGAGAATTCGGATGGGGCGGCAATGCTGCCGCTTATGCTTGTAGTTACATACGAAGCCGAAGCCGAGGCCTGGGCTTCAGACCACTTGAAATAGTAGAGGCGGCGTAACTTTTCAGAGGCTGGCTGCTGGAACCAGAGCTGTCAACAGCATAGCTACAGCCCGTTGCGAAGCATCTTCGGAGCTCCCAAATATAAGACTTCAAATTTCGTTCTACGAAGAGGCACGAAACCCGAGAGGCCGAGATGTGCAGTGGTATTTACTGCGGTGAGCTCATGGGCCAAACAGCTTACACCCCACGGTTGAGGGATCACCACTGTCATAGAGTCATAGAGTCTACAACAGGTTGTACTACGGTCCCTCGTGCGGCATAGGATAATCTACTGTAGATCTTGCTGTAAACTTTTCCTGTGAAACAAGCTGACGTTTAAGCCTAAGCCGAGCAAACATCTCTAAGCCCGAAGTCATCGGCGCCGGTGTCGCAGCGCAAACGAACAGAATGAAAAAAGTGGCTTTTAAACTCCCCGCGGCCCTACACCTGTAGTGAAACGCAAACCCACGCTTTAGCACTTTAGCCATATGTCTAGCAATCAGGGTCCTTTCGTGCAAAGGGGTTCCATCGATGTTGAGTTTTGCAGGGTTCAGGAGTAAGACGCAGGCAAACGTCGCTCAATCTCCAAGCCCTCTGTTCGGGTTCAGTGTTTCCCCTTCAGAACACCCGAAGTAGCAGGACCTCCTCTTTGAAGTCCTGTCAATGAATTCCCTCCTCAAACGGGATTCCGATTTGTTTTGAAAGCCTGACCTCTGACAGCAGTCGTCTGTGGATGGATCGTACTATGCGGCAAGGGGCTGATTGCGACAGCCGCTTGTTGACCACTACAAACTCCTCCGCTTCTTCGCCCTCTTGCACCTCGGCTTGCTATGCTGCTATGCGCAGCATGTAAAGTACTTGCTCTGTTTGGGGTACCGATGCTGGCAAGACCTGCGGATTGTGTGTTTTGGGAATGTGCGGGCTGCATCAACACCTCACGTGCGTCTCCAAACTGACGCCTGGGAAACCTTGGCCTAGACAGCATAACATGATCTCCGACACCGGTGATCTGAGATGCCTCCCAAAGTACCTCACAAGCAGAAAACAAAATTTCGGGCGTGAGGCACGCATTATACACTTGATCATGCAGGTGCCGTGCTCGAAGCCCTGTAAACAGAAAGCCTGTGAGCCCCTGAATCCGCAATGCTCAAGCCCTGAAATCCTGGATCACTGAATAACAAAATGAACAAGCCCACAACTCCGAGCCGCTAAGTAGTCCTCATCCTCCTCTTCGTGATTTGCTTCGACCTTGTCCTTGAGTTGCCCCGTGGTATGGGGGGGTATTTCCAGGCAGCCTATCCAGCAAACAACATACAAACAAAGAAGACACCCAAAAATCAAGGGCCCTTTCTAACCTTAGGATATTCCCCGTCTTAGGGTACCAACTGATCCTTCACTATCAAAGCATAATTAGACTTCATGCTGTGTGGAGCAGAGAATAACAACAAAACAGACATCTCATACTCGCAACACTTCGAGGGCGCTTCGGTTGTGGCTAGAAAAAGCTTGACTTGTCTCTAGATCCCCGCACTTTGTCCGAAGTCGTTTCGGTGCAAAGGCCGGCTTTCACAACCACAAGTGTAGAGCTCAGGCCAGCAACTTCGAAAGCCCGAACCCAGATTTGAATTCCAAAGCCGACCAGACCAGCCCTGAAACTCCAAAGCTCCGAGCCATCCTCGCGCTTGGGGTTCCGAAAGGGCTTGGAAATCCACGAATACATCCGAGGATCCTCTTCTTTGGATCTCTGCTGCGCAATGGCCTAGGAGTGTCCCGCGTTTCGGATTTCGAGTATGGAATCTGTGGTGTTTGGGTTGCCCAGAACTCGATCGCACTCCTACATCGTACAAGCTAAGCGAGCTTAACGGAGAAATCACAAACCCACCGCTTCCAAGGACAGCAGTCAAACAACCATAGGTTCCAAATCCCTGCAAGCACTTAACTTCCCAACTTCCATTAGGAAGAGCTTACCGAAGTAGAAACCCGAAGTAACCCGAATAGAAACACGTAGCAGGTGCCTTTTTGAACAAACCTTCACTTGCAAACTCAATCGAGGCACAGTCTCTAGTCTATACGCCCACTCATGATCAACAACAGGCTAAAGGTCCTCTGTTGGGGGAGCGAAGGGTGCCGGCGATTCAATTCAACAGGTTGACGTGCTTTAGGGTTTCACGGGGCTCAAGCCTCAAGAGGCTCGGTATCGATCCCATGGCTTCTGAAGTAATGAAGTCCTGAGAAGCAGTTTTGATTGCTGCTAGTGGCGGCTGTGGTGGGCGAAACGTGCGTCAAGCTATGCGCCCTTGGAGCATCTGGCGACCTCAATGTTGATGATTCGGGGCGACGGGTTTAAGGTTTAGGGGCTCGGTGTTTCCGGTTTGGGGTCGCAGTTTAGGATTTAGGGTTCAGGGTATTTGGGCCTGGGACCTTAACACCACGAAAACACAACGAAAAGGTGCTGATGGTGATGACGACGACGATGACGGCAACGAGGATAAAGCAGGAGATTGGGCGAGGATGAGGATGACAATAAGTTTGTGGCTGTTCTTATGTATGACGACGTCGATGATGCTGACGACGACAATGAAGGTGACGCTGGTGGATCCGTCGTTACATGGGCCTCGGGCGACGCAGCGCCGGGGACTGCCGGCGGGCCAAGGGCTATCAGGACGAAGAAAACTCTAGTGCAGGACAATTACGTGAGGGCTGTGGGGAGCTCCCAAGCATCCCAAACACTAACGTTACAAGATCCCCCAGGAGCCAAAGGCCTGAATCCTGATTACTGATTAATAGTGTTCCAAAAAGCATTCCGAATGTGTTCCAGAAAAGTGTGGGGAATAGTGTTCCAGATTCGAAAGTGTTCCGAAAAGCAATCCGAGAGAGCACCCTTGAATCTGAAAGCTTCCGGCTGGAAACACATCTTGGAGCACTTTTTGGAATACTTTTTCAGCAGCAAGTCATTGTCGGAACGCTTTTTTGAGAACACTTTTTGGAATGCTTTTTGGAATGCCTTTTCGGGGGCCCGTCCTCTCCAGATCCGGGTCACAAGCATTCCAAAAAGCGTTCCAAAAAAGTGTTCCGGAAAGTGTTCTGCAAAGCGCTCCGTTGGAATGCTTTTAGGAACACTTTTTGGTCAGAGGGCCCCGTGGAACGCATTTTGGAATACTTCTCAGCTCTGCATCAAAATCAGAATGCTTTCCGCGCGTTTTTCAGGAATGCTTCTGGAATGCTTTTGGAACACTATAAAAACCGATCTACCCCTCCCTTTCTTTAGCCCTCGGGATCTTGTAACACTAACGCATTACCTGCAGAGGGGTATGTTTCTTGTTTTCCCAAGGTCGCCACTCTATGGTGATTTTGATCTGTCGGCTTTCGGGCTTAAAGGAAGACGTGCCGGACAATGATACCTGAAGCTGAAGCCACACGAGGCCCTGATAGGAAATCAGTGGTACCCAGCGATGGTACATGACGATGTGGGCACCTAGAAGTAGAGACACGTGAAGTTGAAGGTGTGATACGACCTGAGAGTGCCTCAACATGCTTGTCTTACTTACTTTGGCGCCAGATTCAACTCATTCAAAAATTGTCAAAAAGCTGGAAGCTGTGTGGGCCCGCATTTCGGCAAGCGACCCGTGGACGCGTGCGCTCGCGCCACAGCCCATGGCTTCGGGGCGGTGGGAAGCGAGCGGGAGGCAACACGCCTGACATGTCACGGCTGCGGACGAAGATCCAACGTGCCACGGGTCCACCTCTCTTGCTCTCCGTCCCTCCCTCAGTCTCTCTGTCATTCTCTCGCTGTCTCTCTGTCTGTCCGTGTATCTACAACAGGACGAATCTGTTCCCATCTTGCCCACCCTCGGTGTGGGGCTGTTAGATTTTGCACCAGAGCATCCCTAAAGTGCCCACCCCATCCCCAGAGCATCAAACAACGTTCTTCATGGCCCGAATATGCCTGGAGTGCCCGGCCCCGAGACTTGCCCTGAAACAGCGTCTGTTCAAGCCTTGCTTGGCGGGGAGGAACAATAGGGCTACAAAGTCCAACATTGCAGCATTAGGTTTTGATTTTGTTTAATAGAGTGTTCTTCGAAGTCTCCCGTCGACAAGAACTCGAAATACAGGCGAGTATATTCTAGATCAGCCCTCATTTGGGTCTTGCGGGGTGCCGTTTGGTCATTCCAAGCACTGGATTCCCTACACCCTAAACCCGAAGCCTTAGACCCTACATGAGCTCCAAACTAAAGGCCCGTCTGCGAACCTTCACGGATCTTCAGTGTTCGGGGCACACTTCTCGGCATCTATGGGCTTCGTATCCGGACTGCCAGAAGAGCAAATGAAAGCCGCAAAGTGTCGGAACCAGTGCCGCGTCTGCCTGTAGCTCGTCCTTCCGCAGGTTTAGCGTGTAGGGCTGTAAGGCTTTAGGGTTCCAGGGTTGAGGGCCAGGGCTTCGGATTCCCTTCGTTTGTAGCCCGACTTCCTCTGCGTTCTGAAGCATCTGTTCCGATGCACGCTGAAAGCTTGGACTTGAAGCTCTGAGGCGACAGAAGATCTTTGCGGCATCTAGCGGCAAAACTTGCGCTCTTAGAGCCAAAAGCGCCTAAGCACAAAACCCTACACCTGCAATTCCCGTTCCAGCGAGAATCCTTGAAAGACTGTAGGTTTCGGTACCTGTGAAGCGTACACGCTCACCCTAAGCCTAAGCCTCTAAGGACTCTTTTGTTACGGCTTGCGGGTTCAGTCGGGGCTTTTCCTGCGCCTCAGACTAACAATGACGGCTGTCATCCAGAATCAAACAAGCCTGAAACCCTAATCAGAACGCTCCTATCTTCAACAAGTCCCTCGACAGGAATACCCGTTGATGGCTTCGGTTTAAGGCTCAGTGCGCTGCACCGGCCACATTAGATTGAAAAACACGCATGAAGCTCGACGTCAACCTACCAAAACCCTAACTCACAACCCTTGAACCCCTCGACAAGCGGACCTCGAACTGGAATGACACCCTTCTCTGCCGAAGGATTTGACCCGCCTGCTCGGACCCCCCGGGTAGTGCTGAAGAAGTTGCTTCGAGGTGCAACTCTCTCGGGGCGTGGTAGAGGATGTGGGATCAAAGGCTATCACTCCATTGCTTTGATAACCAGGCCACAATATTCTAAGCAATCTTGCGGAGGTTACATACTTACGTACGTACATACATACATCTTCTTGCGGATGCAGCGAACGGTCGATGCTCGCCCAGCTATGCAGGCAGATCCGTAGATTCGGCACATCTTATGGGCGCGCACCCTGTGCCCCCCTACCCTCAGCCAGCCTCGTAAGGCAGTGAACAAAGGCTATTGTCATACTCATCACATCAGCATTGCCGACGATCTCGGGGTGGGACATCGTTGGCCATAGTCGTGAACACTGAGCTCATGCAACTGCTCAGATGCGCAGAACTGGGCGGTGACCATGTCATCGGTGATCCAAGTTTTCACCATTTCGGCGCGTAGCACAGCTCTCTAGTGCCAGTGGTTCAGGGATTCCCCGTAGGGGAGTGCTGCTGCACGCGCCTGGTACGAATGTACGAATACATACATACGTGCAGACATACGTACATGCATGCATACATACATACGTTACGTACATACATACACACATACATTCATACGTATGGCGCACACACACACACACACATGCACCGACGTGCCTTTTGCTCATGTATAGCATTTACACGATGTGCGTGCATGTCTGTCTGTCCGTATCATGCTGCATGCTGAGGCATGAGAACCCTCCTCGGCCGGGCCCGAGGACGCAAGCAAACCAAACCAAACCGTCATTCAACCCGTGCTCAGGAGCTTGTAAGTGCTGCATCTCAAGCACGGAACTCCATTCGCAATAATTAACTTCAACGCCCTTGATCTCTGCTCCACTGCAGGGCCTCAATCACCTTCTGTACATCTTCGTGGCTGGCAGATCCTCGCATCTTTCTCTTGCAGCCGGGTTTTGCACTCTTCCAAACCAGCAGCGCACGTAACTTAAGAGAAGTTCTGAGCGACAGTCGGGAACCCAAAACCCTGCAAAGACAGCGCAGCAGAATCAATTGTGAAGTGGGTCAGTCTAAGGCCACCGGCTCAGCGGAGCCCCTCCAAAAAACGACCACTGAAAACAAAAAACACGGTGCCAGGCCTGCGCACTGATCCACAACAGAATCCCAAAACGAAGGACCAGAGGCCGAGACCGACAGCTTGAGTTTCAAACTTTTCGGGATTTAAGAAGTTGAAGGCTTCAGACTGGCTTGAGTATTCATGGTTTGCCAAATGCTCCTTTCGTGGAGTGCGAAAGGAGGGCCACACGTGGATCTTCGCCGACAAGCCTCGAGTACTTCGTGGGGCTGTGGGAGTTAAGGGTTCCCGTTTAAGGGTCTCGCAGATTATAGTTCTCGGGCTAGGACGTTTTGGGATCACCAATATGGCTGCCTATTCTTTAGGGCTGGTGGTCCAGGTTTTGTGTGGCTGTACCCGAGCGGGGTTCAGGGTTTGCAAGTTTGGGGGTTTCAGCATTCCAGTGCTTCAGTGCAGCATACCGACTGGGAATTCAAGGCTTTGTGCATAGGGTCTTGCTCCGCATTCCAGTAACACGGCTCTGCCGACGTTTTGCGAAGTGAGAGGTGGCTTCTTGCTCCCAGAAATGGTGCAAGATGCGGCCGATAGTGCCCTACGCAGACCACGAAAACTCCGTACTGCCGCATCGATGACATGCTACCCGAATCGTCGTCATGACGATTGATGCTAGACAGCCATGTAAGAACCCCACAGTTTCACCACACTGCTTTGGGAAATAGACACGTCTAAGGGGGAGTTCCACTGCTAACATCGAAACTGCTCATGTTTCTTAGCACATGCTCAGGCATGTACCACGAAACTGTGTGGTCTAGACTACGAACCCCGGGAACCGTTTCGGGGGTTACGGGCTTGTACTCTTAGCATCACGGTTTGCTACATTTCCATTGCGGACAATCTAAATCAAAGATTCTTTTGGCAGCAAGTCCCTCTGAAAATAGTTGAAAAGGCCAGGTGAGAAGAGTTGACGGTTGAGACAACTCCCTGTGAGGAACCCTGACCTATGCAGGGTTCGCGAAAAAAAGTCCCCCTGCGCAGCCCCAATGGCCCTCGCGATGTGAGCAATTTGCCCTGCTGCGGCCGGGGCCCAGACTTCCGATGGCACTCTGCTGTTGCTACAGCAATGTCCTTCTTCGGCAATTTTGGACGGCGGTTGGCTTTCTGCTTGGGCCAGGGGGATCTTGGGCACAGGCTTGCTTGAACCAAATGATCGCTAGCTCGAGGTAGGGATCAGGTCTGCTAAACTCTCCACACTACATTACATGTCTATGTCTAGAGATATCGATCCCAGTCATTTGACATGTAATTACTCTGTTCTGTAAACAGCATGGTGGATGTTGAAGTCTACACTGGCTGATTGTCCGGCATATGGTCCTTTTCGGCAGAGCTACCTTACAAGATATCCACGTAGGTTGTCGCGGATTCCGGGCACGCTTGTGATTACGAGCCCTCTCCGAGGAGGCTTTTACCTTCAGCATCTGGGATCTTAAGACAAGCCGAGTATGGTCGACCCACAGTGGAGTGCGAAGGATTCCAGGCCGCTACGACCCACAACTTGCGGGTCTTGATACTGCTCCATCGGGCGTCAGGGGGTTTGGGGGCAACGCCTCATTCGGAACGAGGATAGTGCCGCTTTATTCTTGCATCCTGTGCTACTACCCTCCTGTTTTTTGTAGGCTCTTCTCAGCCCAACGACGGGACGCTCTAGATGTGGGTGGCCCTCGATAATGATACCGACGGTAGTACGTCGAGCGTTCCACAGGAAGGACACCTTACAGGAAAAAACCCAGAACAGTGCCCATATGACCTGAAACTCTGGAGCTCTAGATTCCAGATCCCAGCTTCGAATGCCGGCTATCGAATCTGTGAAGCTACCAGGACAGGAGGTTGAAAGCAAAAACTCATCGCTGCTCTCGCAAGGCTCGGGAAACTGCTGGCGTGTGCACAAACAGGAATATGCCATAATCCCCAGGGCTCAATAAGCCACTCTACTACGCGAGGTGGCGCCGATCCTGAGACCGTCAAGCGCTTGCCTCCCCCAGCCCTTGCAGACTGAAGTCTTCCCTAGGCCTAGTTTGCGACAAGGAGCGGCAAGCTGTTCGGCGGAGGGGTTCCTCTGTTGGTTCTTAAGGTGCTGGGGGCCGTGGGGCCTCTGCAGCTCGCTTCTTTGAAAGCTTCTTCCTTGTAGTTCGTAGTTTCGTTTCGACAGTTTTGGGGGGGGTTTCAGGATGTGGGGATACGAGACGTCTTAGCCCATGCAAGTTGCAGGACTATCGGATTTCGTCCGTGCCCTGATTTCACCGAGATTTATATAAGGCTCAAGACGTCACAAGAAGTATCGTGGGCTGGCCACGGTACACTGCCCTGGTTTTGACCAATCCTGTCCATTCGCGCGACATGTTAATCCTGTACTGTAATCGACAGCATAGGGCCTACCCTCGAATCATTCTTGGATGATATTCGAACCTACTATGTAATGGGATGGTATTCTGAACTTCACTGGAACGCCTCAGGAACCGCGACCCCCGGTCCATGACCAAGGAATGCGGAACATGTTAGCCCTCGCGTCCTGGATTCTGAAAAGTCAAACCCGTGTTCTGGGGAGGTTGGATGTTTTTGGCGTTTGCAGTTCGACATAGCCGAAGAGTGGATTTGAGTGTTTGAGGCTGTAGCATGTGTGGCACCACGAGGATGTAGTAAGCTACCAAAAGGCAGAAATGACAAATCTGTGTTCGGGCAAGACACTGCACAGCTGCACAGTCGGCAAAGGACAGCACCTGTCAGAAACTAGCGACAAAACGCGCGTGATGCATGTCATTGCAAAGGTATTGGCCGAATAAGCGCTGCCAAGTTCCAAAGGCTCTCACTGCAACTGCTAGGCTCTAGGCTCTAGCCCAACAACTCAAACCCTTCTTGCTGTAAGCGCGCAAACATGCAAACTAGGGAGTTGAGACGGCAAAGAGCGTTGACGAGTTGAGGTCTCAGGTTTAAAGTTGAAGGGGCCCGGCAGCGTAGTGCGTGAAGAGGCTTGGAATTTTCGTGTTTTGGATGTTGGGTCCTTCAACGTGCAGCAAACACCAGGCTTCTTGTCGCGCTTACAAGCTGCATTTCCACTTGGTGGATGGATTAATTGAGCGATCCCTGGTCCGTTCTTAGAAGCATTTAGAAACAGCCCGGTTCAACTTCGGAACTGAGTGTAAAGCGTGATAAACCGGCTCTTACATTACCTCCCGGTGTAAGCACGACCGGAAAGCCTGTCGTCGTCATAATCAATGATTATATATATATATATATGTATATACATACATACACACCATCGCCATGACATTTGCAAGCATCGTCTCGAACTCCAAATGCAGCAGCAACTGCAGCAGCAGCAACTGCAACAGCAACAGCCGCAGCAGAAGCACCAACAACAACAACAAAAACAACACGAGGAGGACAAACATGCAGAAGCTTAAAACACTCCCCAGAGTGCCGCCCAACATCGGAGGCAAAATATCTGGTGCCTTGTCCGCAAACACCATTAGCCTCGGCACATCTTCGATGGCCGGTCAAGAAATTTGCAGGCTCAAAGTTCGTAGCCCGAGATCTGCAAAAGCTTGCAAGCTCAGCCTTTGCCGACCTTTCCTGCACTCCGTAGTAAGAGCTTTACACACACAGGCGGATCCGCCTCTGGTTGGTTTGGCTGAGTGTTATCCGCAAGACTAGAAACGGTAAGATTCAATCCGCGTGACACTTTGATCGCCCAGGCACATCGTCGTGGACACGGTGCGCAGGCCCTCCTGGCGAAACCCTGCCCGAAACCAATCCCAAGAGCCCTGAAACGAAAACCGTGTCCCTCTCAAGCTAGACCCCGAGTTCGAAAGGATTCTACTTACAAGACCTGTACACCTCAACAAACTCTACAACATTCAACAACAATCCCGTTGAAATGCTTTAGACACACCTATGGACCGATGACTAAAGCGTAAACCCTCAACCTCGAGTCCAAAATCCAGTCCTGAACCCAGAAAGCAGTAAGCCCAAGCCCAAAAGCAGTGAAAATCCACACCTGCCTGCGGTCCGATGACATGGATGGCAGCACGCAGAACGTCCGCAGTGGATGCGATCGAACCTGACCGGCAACACTGCAGTTCGAAGATTGGGGTTTGGGCATGCCAGGGCTTTGGGGTTTTGGATGAAAGGTCTGGCGACTACGGGGCATTGGGTTTGAAAGCAAGTTTGGGCATTTCGTGCCGAGTTCGGTGAGGCTGGGTTTAAGCTCGAAAGTATGGGGCTTTCAGGGGCTTGGCCAGGGAAACGAAAGCTGCGCGGCGGACGGGAAGCAGAAGCGAGTCAGCACCGGGGAACCAATATGAACAAGCTGAGCACTGCGACAGTCCTCACAGTTCGCCGCGCCCCCAGCACTCATGAAGAGATGGAGGACATGCAACGCAGCTATCCGAATAAGCTTCCTCATCGGAGGGGGGGCCGTTCTTCCAATTCGTTCAGGCCCACTGCTAATGCAGATAGAGACCAAAGCCGCGCTAGGTATAGCTTTCGTGATTTGTGGTGTGGGCCTGGTTTTAAGCTTTAGCTGCCCTGAAACCACGGGAACCGAAAACTCCAAACACTCGACAACTCCACCTCGAGGGCCTGTTCCACATACTATTTTTGCAGCTTGATCCACCTGTGCATGCAAAGGAACGAACGAATAATTCGTGCAATGTGTTTTATTCTCAAGCTCCGCGTTTGGAGCTTGGAGGGATCCTGCTTCAAAGTCGTAGTTGAGGCTACAAGGCTATAAGGTGCGTCTAGTGCCAAACTATCTGCAGGACTCGACGAGGCACCTGCTACCACACAGTCCGCCGCTCCAGCGTGTAGCAGCGTTGCGGCGTAGTACAGTGGCGCTTTGGACAACCATGCCTTCGAATGGCGAGGAGAGTCCGAAACACTCCTGATCACTCCTGATTCTGATTAATCGGTCCCGATGGTCAGGAGATGCAATCGGGATCCAAAACATGAATCCACTCAGCAACCCCTAGGACAGCTAGGACGTGCAACATGTTGCATGTGCGTGGAACAAGAAGAAGCTGTGGTGCAGAATTTGGGGTATCTCCCACGAACCCCAGCAACTGAATCAGCCAAATTAAGGCCAGGGGCCTTTGGAAGATCGAAATGAGGGGGAAGAACAAACAGACTATAACATCAGGTTGTCAGGGAGATCCTCATCCTTTTTCTCAAACAACCCACCCCTAAAAATCGATGTTCGCCTTCAGAGATTCTGACCGCGGAAAGTACACACCAAAAGACTGTCCCCCAGCAACGAGCCCTGACTCATCGCAGTCCCCGGCGTTCAGGCCTTGGCTTCTTCCGGTGGAACTCCCTGGCCTCGATGCGTCCGGCTTAGAAATTGGGCTTCCTGGAGATTCCATTTTGGATGGCCTCCATGTGCAAGCTGAGTTGCGGGAGAGGCGTGGTTGTAATGTCGCAGCAAGCGATTCCAAGCCTCAAGTGATTGGCCAAGCAGGGTGGACAGGAATGACAACAAATAGCAGCTGCAACAGATCCAAGGCCTGAAGCAGTTTTGTCCCCTAGCCAAGGTCAAAAAAACACAGACAGACAGAGAAAACTGCACCCAAATGCTGAGACCCTCATATATAAATCGCAAGGCAAGGGTGGGTAAGTTCAAAAGCAATCCGGCACTGCAGCTTTCAAGCAGACTAAAGTTGGACTGTGCATTGCAGCAGCAGCAGCAGCAGCATCAGCAGCAGCAGCAGCAGCAGCAGCCGCAACAGCAGCGGAGGGAAATTGAGTACCAGTTTGCTGCGGCCAAGCACCAAATGGACCAAGCGTTCTTGAATGTTTTTTCATGCATGCCGCTCGACATGCGCGAGACGGCGCAACGGAATTGCGGCTCAAGGCACAGAGTGCGACGTCTACAAGCATGCATACGCGCACACACACACACACACACACACACACACACACACACACACACACACACACACACACACACACACACGCACGCACACCACCCACCCACCCACACCCCCACACACACACACACACACACACACACACACAGAATCTCGGCTTGGTTTTGGTGTAGCAAGGTTGCACAAGGCAGAACGAGCCGGACGTCAACCCCAGCTTAGTAGCAGCAGGACGGCAACACAAAGACAGCGCGCCGTCCCGGTCCGAAGCGCTCCTTTCTCCTTCTGGTCTCTCACTCCAACGAATGTCAATCTCACGGGTCCCCTCCATGCGCTATAAACGCAACTTTCTACGGGCTTGGATGAAGTTCGCTGGCTCATGGCCCCTCTATGACACATGTTGTTCTTCCTTTCTTCAGCAATCACGCGGCAGGTATGGCAGGTGACGGTCGTCGCGGCATGGGCTGAGAACCTCCACACCAGTAGGAACGTCGGAGGCCTCCGAAGTCGCGGCAGTTTCATCTTGGGCGCAGGGCTGGATGGATGACAGTTTCGAGCTGTACCCATGAACAGACCGTGGCAGTTCTGACCTTTTTTGGCTGTGCGCCTTCACTTGACTTGTCCGTCACCGAGTTCTTGGAAGCTCTTCTTGGATTTAAAGTCCAGTGCTTCGGGCTGAAGGGCACAAGTTCTTGTCCTTCGCCATCGTTCTTCCCCTAAAGGCCCCCGCTCCGGCGACTGATGCCTGAGGCCGGAAGACTCTTGAAGCCTCAACGAATCTTGTCGAGCCAACTTCTTTGTCGCTGTTCGCCTAAGGAAGCTGATGCACTCTCTTTCACGAGTAGGCTGCTGAAGCTCCGCTCTCCAGCTTTTCCCTGTGAAGCCCAGGAGCCTGAAGCCTTCAGTCCCAAACTCCCGCCATAAGTCTTCAAAAGCCCAGACTGAGCTTGTGGAGCCTATGGAGTTTAAAGTTTGAGGCTTTGGTGAAGCTTGATCCCAGGAAATCCTACAGTACACTCTAAAGTCTGAAACCTTTCATACACCCTGCCCCTAAAGTTTAAAAAGCCTTAAAACCTTAAAGCAAACATGTGACGCGTAAACCGGGCCTTCAAGTCACCCGTGTCGACCAGAGTGGGGACCGCTAACTTCTCCTTGAGGGTTTTCTGGCTTGAGCTTCTTCGGCTGATGGTTTTGAGGGTTTCAGGATTTGGGGCTGGAGGTCTGTTGAGGTCAGAACAACACATGAAAACTCGTGACATGACACACAGCTACACATAACTACAGTACGTACGTGTAGAATAAAAGAGGGCAATGACAGATGTGGAACCCATCCATAAGAATCTAGCTGCACCGGGCATGAGGGAGACGCTGCTGCTCCCATACAATCTCCTTGGCCAGAATGCGCGCGCATTCGAGGACGCGGGGGTCCTGTGGCCGGGCAGCGGGAACCAGCAAGGGACGGTGTTGAGTCTTCGTCTCGTGGGAGTTTGGATCGCGGGGGTTCGGAGATTGGAGGACCGAACCATTGAGCTCTCTTAACCCCCAAACCGCCCAAACCCTAAACTTTCGTAGTCACCGAAGCGTTGTCTCGGAGGCTATGCTTGTGTCTAGGTGCACTGTCGGAGTCCAGTCAAGGGTTTCGGGACAAAAGACTGCAACTCAAGCTCTCAGCCTGCACCTTGGATCCCTGCACGGTTCAGGGAAGGCTGTCGGTAATAACGTCTCACTGATTTAGGCTTGAAGCCCTTCTCGCATACCGGCTTGAGGAGGACCTGCTTTTGGGTGGGGGCCGGGGGGTCAGAAGAACGGGTTGGGGCTTTGTGCGGCTTGACGTCACTGGAATCTGCTGAGACGCTTTTGGGGCAACTGCCCCACGAAGAAAGACGTGTTTGCCCATCATCTGAACACCTCAACTGGCCTCGAACGGAAAGCCCACAAAGCTGAAATGCAAAAGCTGCAAAACTGCAAAAGCTTGAAAGGCAGCGATGTCCTGAGCTTCAGGCAGCAGCACGCGGGCGAGGGCCTGGCATGCAGCGTTCCGACCCCCGAAAACCCCCCGGATTGAAGTCTTCAAATGATGATCACGCTTTAAACGATGACGCCAAGTTCCAAGCTGGTGTCCCCTCGCTTGCGCTTATCCAACGCCTTATAGAACCTTGCCAACCCGCAGCACAAAATGTAGAAACTTTTGCTCCCAAGTCCCCCAAGCCCTTCAGGCCTGGGATTGAACCAGCGACGAAGGAATCATGACCTAAACTCACACAATTTCTACGTAAACCGAAAAGCCAGCCGAGACCTCTCTGGAGGCTGCTTTGTCACGCACGCGCTGGGTGAAGCAGGTGCTGAAACCCCGTACCTGCTCACCACTCTTGTACGGATCTCACAGCTCGTCGGCTTCATTCTTTGACTCAGGCGTTGACGTTGGTCAGAATGACAACAAGTTTGTGAAACACGTTCGGCATCATGTACTATGGGCACATGTTTGTTGCAACCATCGTTGGTTCAGTATTTTGTGTACTGCCCCTTGCTGTCCGAATGGATTCTGACATCACGGGGGAGCTCAAGGAGTCAAAAGAGTCAAAATTAATCACCATCATGATTCGCACGGTGGTCTGTGTCGTCACCATCGTCAGTCACACCAGCAGGATGCAAAGCTCTCTGCTAGTTGTCCTTTTCACACGGCCCTGCACTAGCAAGGCCCGATTGTGCAACGTGTTAACACGCAGTTGACATGTTAAGGCAGGTATCAATGTCCGTGAAGATCAATGGGTCAATGCATGATTGCTCCTGAGGGACCCATGTTGAAGCCCATTTTCGAGCATGCTGTTGCACCAACCTCAGCGGGTACCCAGCCTAGGACTAAGGAGGTCAAGACGTCCCGGAAAACATCATGACACCCAGATCTGCCAAAAGACTGGTAGAAAGCACGACAAAACAATCCCCTCACAGCGCTCTTCTTCTGCTGCGGCGGCATCCAAGAGCACCAAGGAACAAGTGGAAAAGAGCCCACCCTGTCATAGCCAAAACGCAGCAAACGGATCAGGGTACTGTAAACCCAGGACGGCTTTACAAACATTTGGCCGCCCCTCCATCAGCAGATAAGGCCAACAAATACTTCTGGCTCGCTGCATTCCAAGCACATGGTGCCAGCTGAAATCACCTATATAACTGCTGCCATGCCCAGCTGTACAAGAAACTGCGGGAACGAGGAGATTTCGACCTCCACGCAAACAACACGCAAGTCATGCCTGGCCCTGTAGGAGACGTCAAGCAACAAGCAATTGGTGCATGTTTTTACACTGCAAAAGTTTGCGTCGTATTATGAGCCGTGCCCGAGGACAAACCTTCGATACCATTTCCAGAGGCGAAGCAATGCCGAGCTCAAAACGTCCCCTTGAGACACACCCTGCAACTCACGTCCCAGAGAATCTTCTACATGGATAAAGTTGGTCATCGCAAAATGCTGCACAACTGCTCCGATGGAATCAAATGAGCAATAAATCCAGACGGGATCTGTACACAATGTACACGTATATTCCCAAACACCCTTTGCCGTCAGCGCTCTTTCGAGGGATGCTTACACCATGAACCTGCGCATCCCGCCACCACGCGGAGAGAACCGTCCACATGAGCGCACGCGTCTGGACAGGGCAGTTGTCGAAAACAGTCCTTCATGTCCCTTGCAACAGCGTATCCGGAATCGTACCCCAGATGTCCGGACTGTACATTAAACTCATGGAGCACGTCAACAACCTCCTGTATTGACATGGAATCCGACCGAAGATGATGCGGGAATCGATCCAACAAAACATCCAGAGCCATTGAAATGACGGAGTGCAGAAAACAACACGGTGCGGCGTGTCTGGATAATCAACCGCCAGCGAAGTCCAGTCGATTTCATTTTGGGAAGAACAGCCACAGTTCCGAGCTGCCACTGATGTTTGGGAACCTTTGTGAAATGTTTTGGAATCAGGAATGCATCCTGCAATCCGGGAACGACCGCCATCTGTACAATGGCATCTTGCAGCGCCTTGGTATCAGCACATTCCCACACAATGTTTTGTTCCGACAGCGGGCCTGAAAGAACAAGCAGCTTACAAGCCTGCTCATGCGCCAACCTCTGACATGTGACGGCCAGACAGGAAAGGTGATGGTCAAAAACCGTCACAAACATGCCCCGAAGCCACGTCTTTGCAGCTCGGATATCTCCATGCGAAATGGGCGTGGCACCACCAATCCCGGAAGAGAAAAGCGTACAGTTCCGCCGCACAACCATTGATAGCCCTGTCACTACAAGGGTCATCTTGAGAAATACGACAGCGCCTACGCAGACCCCGGAAGGCCTCGCGAACCGCCGCAGCAAGAAGATCATCCCAAGTGGGAGGTGAAGCGAAACTAGCAAACTAGCAGGCCACCGTGCAAGGTGTTGCAAACTCTCAGGCGATGGGACAGTGCCCTGTGAGGCGGCAACATGCGTCGCGCCATCAACCACAACTATAGATCGGCCTGTCGGAGCTCAGCACAGCCAGTCGTTCATGGAACGCGAGTTCGAAACGAGGTCCTTCACTTTCGGAGTGGAAGACCAGATGACAAGGCATTTTGCCTGACGCAAGATAGGGACCCAGCACTGCTTCGAACACCATGAAGAAATGAGACGGCGCAAGGTTCGCAGTACCAGCTGCCGCGCACACTCAGACCCAATCCACGGTATGTATATGTATGTATCCCACAACCAGAGACCTTCAATCGAAGCAACACGGATGTCGGGTATTGAGGCAGGAAAGACCACATGAATGTGAGCTCCCGGCGTTAGACTATGGTTGGTGCTCTGGCTGCTATCGATGGTCTTGGGGCTGCCGTGAGGGCGAATACAAGGTCACCATTGAAATCATGGCGAATGAATGACAGCGATGGGGTTAGGCTTGACATTGTTTGGAAGGAGGAGTCAGCTAACGGTCATCCTCATTTATGTTGGTATTTAGTACAAGTTACAAGTTCAGTCTAACAGTCAATGTCTGTGTGTGTGTGCATATGCGCACATAAATTTTGCATACACGCACACGCGCAAGTCCGACATGATCGTATACTAAAGTGAGAAAGGGGTGCCATATACAATATGTTGAAGTAAAAGCAAATGCGTTTATCATCCCAGAATCTGAGGACCATCATTGGGTCAATGCCATTCGAAGACGGTGAAGGATCGTGATTATCCAAGGAATTCGTTCTGTGCTGTCTCAGCATGAATCTGACGGCTACCATTGAGGTACATGTCTGGGCAATATTTAGTTTACTCGTACTGTATTAACACGAGCTAGTATTGGGGATGCCACGACTTTTCACGTCAGGGTTTCGAATGCTCATGCTAGGGATACCACAACTACATCCGAATTAATTGACCTGCTGGGGAGGCCAATGGTCGGGGCTTCTCCTAACGCCATTATTCGGGTTGCTGTTGCAGGAAGTATTCGGCACATTACGAAGGTTACGAATATGAAGAGCTTATGGGTGATATTAAGTTTGCGAACTGTTTGCAAGTAAGGTCCATTGTGGAGTTAGGTTCATTACTAGAACTGCCAAGGGGACTGCGATATCCTTGCTATCGGGGGGGCCATGGGACTAAATATTGGGATGTATAGTGGGGTTACTAATCGGCATAACGTTTCAACCCATACGAACTAAGTTTGTTGAGGCATAAGGCGGCTCGTTTGGGCAAACATAAGACAGAATACTACTGTCACCATTGGGGCCAACGTAAAGTTTAATGGCAGGGCTCGTCTCAGGGATACTGCTGTTTATGAGTACGAGTCAGTGAAGCCTCTCGGTCATTCATACGTATTGCTCTTGCTTGGATCTGAGACTACTGTGATGGTTGTCTTGGGAGTTCATACTCGGGTCCACATTACGCTTTCAGGTATTCAGACAGAAATGCGGTTCATCGTTTGAGAAATCATCTCTAGGAGTATCTGCGTGAAGCGGCGCAAGGAATTGAGACTGAAGGCGGCTGCTGATACACACATGCTCTCCGCTGAGAACTGCGGAACCAACGTTAAGCCTGGATCATCAAATCATCACCCGAAGCCTAGATGTGGGAGGATGGGTGGCGGTATCGCGGCTCCTCGCGGTAGTTTTTTGAGGGGCAAAGGGGGGTAGCATACACATGTATAAATATATATATATATATGCACACATACAGACGTATGCGGATACATATACACAAACAAATGCAAAAGCACGAACACACATATGTATACATCTACATATACAAACGAATGCAAATACTTATTCATGTCTAGACGTGTACACACATCTACATGTTCATATACATATGCTAATTTGTATATGTATGTCTTGATGTATGTAAGTATGTATGTATGTATGTATACATGTATATCTACGGTCTACACGTACATAGACATGTACATGTGCATATAGATATACACACAAATGCAGACGCACATGCGAAACATGTACACACATACATGTACACATACATACATACGTACATACATACGTACATACATACATACATACATACACACGTAAACACATAACAGCTTACGTCCAGCCAAGCCTCCATGCATGCCTGCAGCATGCACGCAGATGTGTGTGTGTGTGTGTGTGTGTGTGTGTGTGTGTGTGTGTGTGTGTGTCTGTGTCTGTGTCTGTGTCTGTGTCTGTGTCTGTGTCTGTGTCTGTCTCTGTGTGTGTGTGTGTGTGTGTCTGTGTGTGTGTGTGTCTGTGTGTGTGTGTGTCTGTGTGTGTGTGTGTGTCTGTGTGTGTGTGTGTGTGTGTGTGTGTCTGCGTGTGTGTGTGTGTGTCTGTGTGTGTGTGTGTCTCTGTGTGTGTGTGTGTGTGTCTGTGTCTGTGTGTGTCTGTCTGTGTCTGTGTGTGTGTGTGTCTGTGTGTGTGTGTGTCTGTGTCTGTGTCTGTGTCTGTGTCTGTGTCTGTGTCTGTGTGTCTGTGTCTGTGTCTGTGTCTGTGTCTATGTGTCTGTGTGTGTGTGTGTGTGCGCGTGTGTGTGTGTGTATGTATATACTCATGACTATACATTCAGATATCTAAACCTATTCTACACCTCTCTCCCTACCTACCTCCATATCTGCTTCTCTAGCTCTATGTCTATATCTGTATCTATATCTATGTCTATCTCTATCCCTATCCCTATCTATCTACACTTGTACCTATCTATTCATCTATCTGTCTTTATGTGTGCATGTCGGTACGTGTGTGTGTATATATTTGTGTATTTATGTAACAACTCTCTACCATGTGTAGTCCCAAACACCTTGATGTGTGCAAATCAGTGCACCCCTAAAAGGAGATGGTGATTCAGACTCACGTGAGGGATGCGGGGCACCGCAGGCACCAGCGTGCACGCCGAGGCTGCGCAGCGTCGCATCGCGGCGGCTCTGGTGCGGAACCCTCTTTGCAGCTGAGATTGTATATATACATACTTGCACATATGTGTGCAGATAAGGGCTGATGCTGGAGTTTAGGGTTTAAGCCAAGGGAGGAGGGTAGGCAGTCGAATCCTTGGACTGCTGGCTGTGGGTACATTCGGGACTCCAACATCCAGAAGCTGTGCCTGTAAGCCCTCAGTTCGTGCTCAAGAAGGTTTAGGGCGACTCCACGTGCTTGCATCAAGCTGCTTGTTCTTCTTGCTGGAGCACGGAAGCGAAACATTCAACATACCTGCAGCCCGGAATTCTGCAGCCAAGAGTCCCAAAACAGTCCTAAAGGGATCAGTCGAGCAGACTTTCTGTCTGAGGTTCAGTATGCACTGTGTTTCCAGGATTCATTTTACAGCGCTCACGTTTTGACTTTCACGGTTCAGGGCAAAGGGGTCAGATTTAACCTACCACTGACGGAGAACATCTGTCCATGCCGCTGCTTCATGCAACTCAACTCAGATTGGAAAAATCGATGAAGCTGTGTAGATGCCATAGCCGCCACTGTGCGATACCACCAAGGTATCGCCGGCTGGCCGTTGACCGCAAGGATGGCAAAGCCCCAATCTCTGGCCCCAGAGCTTGAAGATGTTCTTGGTACATTGTACTACCTTACTGAGCCTCAAACACTGACCGGGAACTCCGCACTTTGATCTTTCTCCATGGCACGTCCCACGCGGACTTGGAAACGATGGGTCTTCATCGTAGGTCCCTGCGAAAATCGGCTTGCTAAAGCCAAAGCCCCAAACATCCCCATTCCTACGAGTTTGGGTACATGCCATATATATATATACATGTGTATATATATATACATATATATATATATATATATATATATATATGTCTGCATGTGTGTATGCACGTATGTACATATATATATATATATATATGTGCACAGATGCACAAGAACGAAATATGATGCAATATCGAACGGGCAAGTCGGCGATCACGTAATTATACGGTATGACAGGGTTTCAGAAAAATTACCTTAAAACGTTATGCCAGCATATGATGCCTTACAGACAGTTGCGTTACAACAACATATACAAATATGTGACAACAGTTATGATACTCTATCCGCTCAGATCATCTCTTACTATCTCAACGATCATACCGTAATTTGTCAGAATATAGGAGAATACATACTCAGCTGGTAACATAATATTGCACGAAATTAATACAACAAACTATAACATGGCTCAACAAAACAAAATTATGTATGATGTGAGTTGCCAACGTCTTGTATACTCTTATTATGTAGTGGGACATAACACATCATAATGCAACACAATATGACACAGCATCATACCTTACCACATAAATGCATAGGCCGAAAGAAATACAAAGACTAGGAATGGAATGTAATATCTGACACTAGTCTAGTCCACAATGTCCTTTTCTGTGATAATACAGTATATTACAGAAGCATAATATGGTGGTATACCACACAATACATCGAAGTGGAACATAATAGAGAAGAGAGAAGCGAACAGAACAGAGTAGAATACATAAAGTAATAGCACAGAATGTAGCAGACTAGAATACAGCATATTTTAGCATAACCGAATGTCACATAGGTCACATAAGGTCATATCATATCACACCCCAGATTATACCATAGCATGTGGTAAAGCATAATGGAAACCCATGGAATATAACTGATTTCGTACTATATAGCATGATACCCTGTAGGAGAAGATTGTATAACTCAGAATGCAATACAATATGCTACAATGCAATGCAATACAACCTCATACCATATAGTGTAAGATAAAGAATGTGATCCAAGGTACTACTCTTTATGCTTCAACAGCTTACCATGTCCTATCACGTCATCTCATACCAGACCATATCACATCATAAAACAAAATGTATCATAGTCTCATAGTATATTGTCTTTATCAGCCCTCTCTCTCTCTCTCTTGCTCTCTCCCCCCGCCTTCGGTAGATTCGGGGCTGACTCCCCGAAACGGCGCCGCTCACTCCTCACTCGACCTCCAAAAGCGCCCGAACTCCTCGCTCGGCGTAGTTGGCGGCTCGCCGAGCCTCATCCTGGGCACCGTGGTAGCGGAAAGTGGCGAAGATTCCTGTGCCGCGTCGGGGCTTTGCAAGCGTATGCTCAGCTACATCAGTGAGGCAGGGGCCTGGAATTGCCAGAAAGCCGTGAGTATTTTAGCTCAGGACTTTGGGACGTCAGATTTCGGACCGCAGGTTCAGGCAGTCACGCCGGAATTCCACCACGATTGTAACACGGAACTCTTAGTGCATGGTACTTGAACCATCTGGAACCTACGAATGCTGGAGAGCTCCTCCGATTCCGGGAGTCTACAACTCTTCGTGCCAAACTGCCGAAGCTTTCCGCCAGGGCCATCGGGGATTCGGTGGCAGCGAAGCCCAGCGAGGCAAAGTCACCACCGCCAAGCAGGTGGAAGTGAACCTGGAGTCTTGATCTAAGGCTTCAGGGATTCAGGTGTTCCGGGGCTTTACGATTCTAGAGCTTATCATTCAAAACATGGGGCCTTTGGGTGTGGGAGGAATCGGATTTAGAGGCGTTGTGGGTCCCTCTTACCCTTTTTGCACGTGCAATCTGCGATTTGGGATGACACTTTGTGAACATGATCTGGCAATGTAGAAACCAGCTATTGATGGGGCTTTGCTCCTTGCGATGAGCAGAGCTTTGGGCTTCATGGTTTTGCTTTTCTCGCAATGAAGACCTCAGAAGCGGCTCAACCCTCCGTGGCAAAACATTACAATCGAGATCTTCATTATCAACCCTGAAGACGTGCGCAAACTCATCAAAGGTCGAGGTTGGGGCTCGGTCCATTGGATTTGTGCTGTCGCATATTTCCAATTCGAAGGCGTTCCGGCGAGGTCGGCTTTCCAAGCCTGTGAGACTGCTGTTAAGGTTAGGATAAGGGATTCCTATGGATTCCTTGTGACGGTGCCTCGATATCTTCGAAACCGCACCCTATACCGACAAGCACTGGACAAGCGTATCCAAGCCCCTCAAAGGCCTGCCGCTGTGGGCATCCTGTCTTCACTGGGGTCTCTTCATGTCTAACACCCGTGAATACCCTTGTGAGAAACCGCTAACTTATGAGAAAACGTTAACTTCAAGTCTTGGGCGCGGCTCTCCAACTGCAAGGGAAGACGCGAGTGGATCGGAGGCCCGCCCCTCGCCCGGAAAGCAGAGATACCTTTTGGGCTTGAAGGTTCAGCAGTGGATTCTGTCGGAATACGGAATACGGATGTAGTTCATTCTAAGGCTTGCAAGGTGTAGAGTGGTGCATTTAGGGTCTTCGGTCATCGGGTTTGCTTCCAGGCGAATCCCACTTCTCGGTGTGGTGCAGGCACAATGACTGGGAATTTGTTTCGTTCCGTGCTCGGGGCTGGACGCTGGCACTCTCCAGAATTCGCGAGTGCCCACAAAACGCCGCTAGCAACCTGGCTCGCGCGAAAGCCAACGGCTGTGAGCCCTAAACCTCAACCTAGCCTAATGCAAGGTCCTGCACGTTGAACTGTTGGGCGGTTTGCTTTGACCCTGGAATCCCAAAAGCCTGAAGGTGATTGCAGAACAGAGTAACATGACTAGCAACATCATGTCATGACATCGCGATGAATTGAAGTCCAACTGCGATGCAGCAGCGGAACTCGGTTCTGGCTTGGCTACAGGCGGAAACCTTGAGCCCTGAAAACGATACCCTCAACCCCACACTTGACCTCAACGCCTCTTACATCCATAGGCCTAAAACGCCTAAACCCCTAACCCCAACCACCCTAAATCCCAAACTTTCGCTATCCTTGAACAACCTAAAGTAGTACTCAACCTTCCCCACCCCTGGAAGCGAAAGAAGGCCGGGCCGGGGAGCTCGAAGGCGAAGTTCAGAAGCGGCTCCCGGAGCTCGGAGCCGATGTGCCTGGGGAGAAACTTTGGGGCTTTCGCCTGTGCCTTCCTTTCGGGCTTTGCTTAGGCCCTGTAATAAAGCTAGCCTAACCCTACATTTACTCTGAGTATCCGTATCCACCCCTCACCACCCAAGACACTGCCCCCATGGAGGATCCTCTGATTCGCTCAACAGAAGTCGCCCCCATGTTAGGATTCGCTGAAACCACCATGCAATCTCCCCCGAAAATGGAAACCAGGAGCTTCAGGGGTTAACTGGTGTATTTCGTGGATGCGACAAGTTGTTGAGCGGCCGCCCAAAATCCAAGCGACCCTTAACCCAAGAACCCTGAAGACTGAACAAAGCCCCTTGAATCGGCGGTGCTCAAGCCGCTGGCGTGCTTGAACCGCTGGTACGTGAATCAGCTCGAATCGGGGTGCTTCAATCGCCAGTGCTTGATTGCAAGGCTCGTATCGGGGTCGGTGCTCGCTGCTTGTACGAACAACTTTGCTGATCGCCCAAAAGCGCCAAAATCCAGAGAAGCTTCCACATAGTTACATATATATATATACATACATATATATATATATATATATCTTGTATTATATACAAACACACATACATAAATATGAACACACCTACGACTTTTCAGAAAACATGATGTCGAACAGCCCAGTGGCCCTGCAGCCAAGGCTAGATCTTTCAGCAGAGCCAAGTCGACTGGCTTCTCCGCCTTCTTTCGGTTGAGGCTTAAAAGTCCACGGTTTGGAGGCTCAGGCTCCAATTCTAGGCTTGAGGGCTGCACATACATACATACAGACATACATAGAACCTGTGTATGTATGTAGGTAGGTATGTACGTCTGTGTGCATGGATGTATCCATGTGCGCATATAATATACGAGAATATAACATAACATAATACAATAGATCGGAATATAACCTAATATATCATAACACAACATAATAAGTCATAATAAAACATGTGTAGATATAGATATATGTGTGTGTGTACACATGCTAACCCTTTGCAAGCAGCACCAAATGCAGAAGCATTACACCCCACATACCATACACCTCACTGAGCCTGCACGCACAATTGGTTATCATGAAACCTCATCCCCACAACAGCCTAGCAGGCCCTGACAGAGGAGCCCAGATAGTCGGCAAATTCCGCGAAACCCGTCAAAACTTGCGGAAATCTGTATACCACTGTTTTGAGCCAGGCTTCTATCTAGTCAGTTGAACGACAAGCTGGTTGGCTTGGGATCTTGCGTTCAGGATTGAGGCGAAAATTGGGGCATCAGTGTCTTCAGGCTCTCATATTACCCCATGTATATATATATATATATATACACACAAACTCTAGAAAGGACCAGAACTCCAAAACGACTCGGGTGCACTGATTGCGACCTCGCGGCAAGCCCCGGAGAAGAAGCCCTACCTCCCAAGAAAAAGAACTGTCTGGAAACACTGCACTACCCCAGCAATGCAGAGAGGTCAACGAAACCCTTTCTACGATCTGCTGTAATCAGAACGACTTGATTTCACAACAGAGGGAAGGACCAATTCGTGTTCTACGAAACTAAGTAAAGCAAGGAGACATATCGCGCGCAGTTATTCTAATCAAAAGGTTTCGACACTGAAGGCCTCGAACCCGATAAGAAGCCTCCTGAAAAAAGAGTCAGATCCAAAGATTTGGCTCCTATGGTATACCAGGCTATCTTAGACTATCTTATCGGAATAGAACTCTCACATCCGCCAAACCCTCAAACCCTACGGCCGCCTCCTTGGGCAGGTCAATCTGCATGCCGCCGGTCTCCCTGATCTGTGTTAGGACGGCGCGATAAATTGCCACCGTGCTCTGTTTGGGCTCCTATGTTGAGAATGTACTTGTGTGCGGGCTTCAGGGCAGAGGGTGTAGAAGAGTCTCGGGGCAAGCGGTTCTGTCTCTCTCCCTCGCTCTCTCTCCCTCTTTCTCTCTCTCTCTCTCTCTCTCTCTCTCTCTCTCTCTCTCTCTCTCTCTCTCTCTCTCTCTCTCTCTCTCTCTCTCTCTCTCTCTCTCTCTCTCTCTCTCTCTGGCAGCGTGCACGTGAGGTCATGCCAAAGTTAGGGTCGCGAGTTTGTGCCCAACCTGTCTTGGACTGCTGTCTTGACAGTACACATCGCGCTCTTTGGGTGCATCAGTGCCTACACCACAAACATTAACCCGAAACTCTCAACCAAATGCTGCAACGAATAGGCTGCCTCGGCGACCAACTGACAGCCGCACGCATCGATTGAACTCTAAATCCAGGTAAGTGCCGAAGTCACAAGCTCCAGGTTCCTACGCCTAGACTCTAAGACTCTACGAGTTAGGCCTGAACCCTGAACCCGGACCCGAGGCGACCAAGTGACAGCAACACCAAGACAGCACTCTCCAGGAACTTCAGCCGCCGGACGGTCTGGGCGCTTTGGCCGTTAAAAGACACCTGCGAGGAGGGGTAGGGCTTTGAGGGCTTTAGTTTAAGGCTTACAGACGAGTGTCTAGGGACGGGTGGGCGCAGGTTCAGAATTGCAGGAGTATTACATGTAGCGAATGGAGACTGGTGCTTGGAGAACTTCAGCGTTACGCTGCATTGCATCTAGAAGTAGTCGTACAGAGCTTGGGGATGTGCCGTAGCGCTTGGAAGCGAAACCTTCGGTAGCTGCTTATGTCCATGGAGGCTCGGAGACACAGAACTTCAGCACCGAGCGATACAAGGAAGGAGAGCCACCCGGGCAATCGATGCTGTAGGATCTGTTCGGCAAAGCACCCTGCAAGCGTGGTGTGCTTTTTGGTTCTTGGAGTCTTGGGCTCCAGTTCTATAAGGCTTTGTTCTTTGGGCTCTCATCGACGGGAGCTTTTCGACTTCAGAGACTCGCGAATGTTGGATTGCAAGGGTGTGACAGTTGTGTGGTCTTCCGTGTTTGGGACTGTTGATCGGGCCCTAGGCCTCGGATTGGGTTATACACTGGGCTACATACTACAGCATTCTTGATCTCTTAACGGCTCTGTATACTGGATGAGTAGCCTCAAGCCGCTAGAATACTTCCCCAAGCCTCCATTAGGCGCTCGCGCGAGAGGCGGAAAGACACGTCGTCGCCAGCGGCATCCCGGAACGAGAGTTCTGGCACGGCGGCGCCTTCCCCAATCTCAAACAGGTTTACACTTGGAGCCGAAGGCCGACGCCTTCTTCGATAGGTTTCGTGGGTCTGCAATTGACCCGAAAGCCTTGTCCTCTGAGGTAGTGCAACGGGGTTGGTTCTCTGCAGCAATATCACTGTCGAGTCTAACTATAGTTCGAGTAACGCAGACCGTTGGGAGCATAGCGGGACAAGGAAAAGTAGCACACGATAAGTCTCGAGACACAACCTGGATATGAGGCCGTCGTCGGAAGCCAGGTTGGGACGTTCCGGGGGGGAGCCTGCAGCATCGTGTTATCACATTGAACACGTATGGTTTCTCTGCGAGCTTACGTGTTGGTTCTCCGAAAACTCTTGTCATCTGATGATGAGAAGGTTTGCCTAGGCCTGTAGTATGACCTGCCTGTTGGTCGAAAACATTTCCTTGTGTTGGGGTCAGTGGTCCAATTCATTCGAACGATCGCGAGGATGGTGTCATGAAGCTTTGCCGTGTACTGAGCCTGAGGTCGCCTTGTCCAGTTGCGCCTGCACCTGGTGCCGAGGCTTTTTCCGAAACTTCGACACAAGATTGGATATTATTCGTAAATTATTCGTGCCATGGGCCATGGGGAGGTGCTGCCCGAGATGACGCTGAGAACTATGTACATGGATCAGCTGTTTCATGCGTACGGCGACTGCGTCTGGAACGTCTGTCTTAACAAAAGCTAAACCTACCATGCTTCCAGCAACCTAAGAGGCTTCACATGTAGCTCAGGATTCGGAAGGCTTGCTAAACTTCACTCGAATATCCCGTGATATGACAGGTTCTGAATTATCGGAACCATTTGGTCTGCTACTGATGCGTCCAGGACGCCTGATTTACAGGCACCAAATACATCCGTGAAAGCAGCTGACCAGTACGGAGATTACCAACACACGCGCAAATGGACACGTGCGCGCACACACACACACACACATATATATATATATATATATATATACACACACACACTCTCCCTCACTCACTCACTCACTCACTCACTCCCGCACGTGTCTAATGGTCCTTTGCACTCCCCTGACAGCACTGACTGGTTCTTTCCCGGCTATTGCTTGAGCATCACCCACTCCGGATGCATGACTCTTGAGTTCAACATCCCCAAGTTGTCCCAGCGCCTCACCGGGCAGTCCGCGCTGGCGCCAAGGCTGAGCTCTCCTCGAAACCCTGCTACTACACGTCGCTTCAGGTTAGCTGTTGCAGTCCGCTCGAAGTTTTAAACCTCTGAAGGTTTTCCAAGTCGATAGACGAGACTCAAGCAACATGGAATCTTGGTCGTGCCGCACAAGATACCTCTTGCACTGCAACCAGAAAACCATTGCTACGTCTTCGGAGATGATCGGATGACCTGGCATCCTACATGGTAGCAACGCTTGCAACATCGAAATCTCAGGCGCAAATGCCCTGAATCGGAAACAGAGTTAAGTCTTTCGGCCCAAATCTTCGCCACCCCAGGCAGTCCGCAGCCAGGTGCGGAAGCTTTTCAGTGGAACGGCCGCCTGGGCCAAAAGGCACTTCTGAAACACACGTAAGGAATTCCGTTCCGGAAGCTCAATGAGCTGTTATTCCTAGCCTGCAGAGCTCCGGCAAGTGGAAACAAATCCTTCCAGGATAAGGCTTGACAGGGCGGCTTTGGGAGAGCTTCAACTTCAACCTTAGGGTTGAGTGAGTTTGTCTCCTGGTCCAGCGTTTTAGGGTCAAGCTGCGTGAATAATTAGAAACACCTCTTGAAAAGGGCTCGGGTCCAACGAGACTTGCCTCACCTGGGCAAAAAGGCTCCCTTGCAGCGATGCTCTGGATTGCAGTGAATCCTTGGAGTAGGTATGCTGTTGTTGAAATAAGGACTTCGATCGTATCCTTGATTTCGAACAAACGGAAGGTGCTCAGGTGGGCTTCATAAGCCTGAGGCTAGGCCTTTGGACAATACAAATCCCTAGACTGTCCTGCACCGTTCGGAATAAACTTGCCACACCCGAGCCACCGGCAGCAACTTCAGTGGCCCCTTCTGCCAGGAGCTGGGCCGTGGCAGCACGCCTTCAGAGTCTTTTTCGTGAAAATGTCGGGAGTCGAGTAGCCTGTGTGGGATCCACTTTGGACTCCTCTCTCCAAGCAGTGATGGCAACAGCAAGATCGATGAATGTCCATACAGCCGGGTCTCGTTCTTTCTCTTTCAGTTGCCGATACAGTAACCGCATGCGCACACCGTCAGATTTCTGAATCAGTGTAGTGAGGAAAGACTATAGATGGTGAGGAAGTACTGCTACCAGTCCTCTCAAGTTACTAGCATTGCAAGTAGAACTCTCGCTGCGAGCAGCAGTAGCTAACAGTATCAACAGACTGAGAGTCACTGTCAATATTCCCAGTGTCAAGCGACGGGTGGAAAGTAGCAAAGGACCATGACGTGGACCTGGCAAAACTATTTTACAATGGAAAGTATGATCCAAACTCGGATCGAATCTAAAGACTTTGGAGCCCATTAGTTCCTGCAAGCCCCTAAAGACTGGACCCACGGCCTTGAAATTCTGCGAACGACAAACGAAAAAGACTAAACAACTCGAAGTTCTGAATCCCCTGAACCTAAACCCCAAGCGGCTCCTTTGCTCTCCTCGCTTCTCTCAGCCCAGCCTCAAAGTCTGACCCAGGCCGAATCCGCGGAGCGACCCTGGCGGGACGACCTCTCATGCTTTGTGTTGCTGAGTTACGGTAAACGGGTGTTGTTTCTGCGCCCTATCCGAGTCTCTTTGGAAGCTGCAGAATTTCGGGCGCAGAACTGTTTGAGGGCCTGTCATGGAGCTATAGGCTACAAGTACTTCGACTCAGGGGTGGAATCATATACAAAAATCAAGGGCTCCCAAAGGCATGTGCATCAAAAGGTATCTCCAACCTCGGGTGTCTGCAACCTCAATGCGCATCTTGCTCTTGTTCAAACTAGTGCCCCGAAGTACGAATCCTTCTCGTTCCCCTGATTCTCTCGAGTTCTTCTAAAGCTCAAGGCATGTCGAGGGGGTTGTGCTGTTTCGGTGTTTTCCGTTTCGGGCTGGCGGGCGTGGGGTTTTGAGCTTGGGGTGTCCGGTTTCGCTCGGGAGTACTTCGGATTGGGGCCTCAGGCCCAAAACCCCGCTATGAAGCCCGAACAATCGAATAACCGAGCCCTAAACTCGGATCCACGTCTCAACGCCTCAACTGCATACTGCAAGAGTGTGAGTTTCAGAACCAAGCGGACACCAGCACAGAGTCCCCAAGAGTGAGATGGACTCGTTAAACGCGCCCCACCTGTCCAAGAAGTATCGAATGTGAGGCTGTGCTCAGAGGTCTGGGAAAAAGGCTCCCCGCCTCGCCGCAGAAGCTTAAAGACCAGATAAGGGCACGTTGCCCACCATCAGGCGAAGGCTGCCTAGAGCTTACGCTTCCGGCTTCCAGCTTTGTGAAGGGTTGAGGTTTTGTTGTCTAGGCTGGGTCTAGGGGTAAACGGTTGGCGATTTATCGACCCGTACACCCAGACCCCCTAGAGTCCTAGAGCCATCAAAGAAGAGCCGTGATCTGTAACAAAGACAAGACTCGGATTGCTCTCTGAGGAACTTTAGAGTTTAGTCCGAATCCTTGTCTCCTGCGTTCTATCCGACCTTGACCCACCAAGCCGTAGTAATTACGAGTACAACCATGTTTAGCTTTAACCCTTATATACACCCTATGAGGTGACGCACATGCCCCTACCACGACCCGAAAGCAAGAAGCCCCGGTTTCCGAACAGCCCCACAAGGCCTCGATGCACAACATTGCACAACTGCGTCCACGCTCGTACAGCCAGGCGGCATGGCAGCGTGTAGCGCCAGCAGTGGCGGTCCTATGAGCCCAGCCTGGTCTGAACTTGGGGAAAGCTCTCCAGGTCTCAGGACTGCAAGGTTTCAGGCTCCTGTTGACCAGTGACCAGAGGTTGACCACAGCGGGTGGAAGTGTAGCAGGTTTGGGATTCTGCGAAAAGCTGTTGCCCGAGAATGTTGCCACTTTCGTCTGCTCCAAGCCTGTTTTTGGGCGGAGACCTCCGACAAGGCATCACGAAGAAGGGATGAAGACTTCCGAATCTTGTACTTGCAGCGATTTGGGGCTTTGGGGCCAACTCAGTTGTGACGGGATGAACATGTGCGCTAAATCTAAGCTGGCCTTGCCCATCTGTGGCATCTGCAGTGCGAAGCATCGTTGGACGCCTCACTTGAAAGAAGCGAGATGCTTCCGGCTGCAAAGGCTTTGGGTGTTCAACGCTCGTCAACAACTCCCAAATTGGTACCTTCGGGGCGATCTCCCGTCGCTGCCGCTGCAGCCGTGAGTCGGACCTTCCCGAGTTCAGGCGCTTGTCTGTAGCGTCTGAATGCACCAATTTCTATTCTGAAGATCTGAGAACGTCATAATCATAACTATGTGGTTGGGTCTTCATCCACGTATTCAATCAAGGGGGAAACCCCAATACCCCAATCCATCTCACTCGCCTTGCGGCTCCACGGCTTGAGGATGTAGCACGACTGCCACTGTGGCTCTTCAATCCATGTTGGTAGCTTGGGTCTGAGTCTAAGATAGTCTAAGTATGAGAGAACTCTGCTGTTCTTGAACTTATCCTGGTAAGCACCGTTAAGCACCGGTCGTAGATACATGCATCTTTCTGCCTATGATGAGGGCATCATCCAGACAACCCCAATCCGAGTCCGAAGACCTCATCCGGCTGCACTTCCGATACTTCGGAACAGCAAAGAAAGCCTCCGCCAGGGGTCGACGGCTTCGTGCTCAGGCTTTTGCTGTTTCTGAAGACTTGTCGGGTTCTGGCTGCGGTCTCGGCATGTCGCATGGTGGGGGATTAGGTTCCCGGACTTTGCTTATCTTCATATTTCCAAGTATATTATATATATCTATATACATATATATATATATATATATATATAGATATGAAAAGGGGGGAAGGCGGGAGTTGGTGCGCTGGTTGTGTCAAATGAACGGAATCACAAGCGGATGGGCGAGCAAGGTGGCCCTGTGCTGACCGAAAGCCTGATCGACACCTCATCCCACCCCCGAGGCCTTTGAACCTCAAACAAAGGGCCCCAAACACACCCCGGCAGACCCCACATCCAGTCCGCCCCAGGCATGCGGGCCTTCGTTCAGCCACAGGGAGAGAAGCCGCAGCAACCTCCTCACAAGGTCAAGGTCAAGCATATCTTCAAGCCTTTCGCCCAGTGGCCACACCAAAGCCACGGAGGGCGAGCGAAACGCTGAGCTAGTATGAGGCGATTAAGTTCGAGTTAAGGCTCAAGCGACTCGGTTCGTTGCCTTGAACATCAAAGCTTATGACTCTCAACGGAACCCTGGACCCAGGGTCTCCCCTCCAGGCGCTCCACAGCGAATTGCGGCGTCCTTGGCAGATGGCGAATTCTATTTATACCTAGTGTCGATTCGCTTTGGGAAACTTCCCCGCTTGACTAAGTAGTCACGGTGACCCGTACTAGCTGTTACGAGATAGATTCAAACCTCTCGAGCTGCGATTGTTGAAATCCACGTTTCCAGAAACCTGAAAAAAATAAATTGTGCGGTTTTGGGCCTCTGGGGTAGGTGCACAGACGGTCATGGCAACGACAGCAGGCAGAAAGCAAGCGCTACCCCTTGTACGCCACCAGCCAGGACAGAGCTCCGCCCTCAGACGTCCGAGCACAAGCTCGAAACCCACAGTGATCTCTGACATGAAACCAAGCATCCCGAAGCTCCACAAGGTGCAACTAAACCCAAACAGACCCGCTGTTGCTGTTGCCTCCAGGCTGCGGGGCAGCTTCGGCTACCCTGCGAAGTGCCACGCGCCAGCGCAGCAGGGCTGTTAGCCCTGAATTTCCGGATTCAGGGAACTTTCACGGCGTCTGGATCTTCTAGACTTCCAGGGTTACAGGCCCGTTTTTGCGTTGTCCATGGATTGGCGTTTTCGGTTCCCGGCTTAAGTGCTGGGGTTGTCGGTCATTTGAGGGCCACGGCTCTGGCCACCTCCGGCCAACCGTCTTGAAAGAGCCACCCAAGGCCCCGTACCCTCACAACTCAAGCTTCAAAGTCCCAGGCCCGAAGTCCGAAGTTCCCACTTTCTCCAAGGCGAAGCGACATAACCTAAACTCCGGAATGTTGGCTCCAACTAACTCTACCTCAATATGACTTCAATTTCTTTGTCTATCTCCACTTGCGCTACACGTGAGCTGAAAACCCAAATCTACATCCCAAGTTCCGAAGACCGAACAAGCCAAAATGCATGAGCCCTTGGACCCCAAACCCGTCTTGAGCCCTCCAACAGCCGCCGTGCATCCCCGCGAGAGGCCTTCTCGCGCTCCCAGGACCGAAGGCAGCTGCCGGGCCACGACCTCCGGCGTGGAGCACGGCTGTTGAAGGCCTTTCGGGTGAAGTCCACAGTTGGTGGCTCGGATTACTGAACATGCGGAGGGTTCAGAAATTCAGGCTTCCAGCCTCGGTTGGCGCCGGCAGGGTGGGCACCATGGCCTCAACGGCCAACTCTGGGTGCCGGGGCGTTTACGACCATCGGGACGAAAAGTGCTGAAGGATTGAGGCTTCTGGGACTGAAGTTTTAGGTTTAAGGGGCTATGATTGAGGAGGGAACACTTTTAATTAACCACAACTTGAGGGTTTGCGTGTAGGGATTAAAATTATGGCGGTTGGGTCTGGAGTTTCCGGTTTCGAGTGCAGGGATTGAAAGCTGTCCCCCCAAAACTTGGGCTGGCAAACTTCCGATAAACCGCAACATTCCAGCTTTAGGTGTCTAGGGTTCACCGCCCACTCACAGCAGAAGCCACCAGAGCACAATGACGAAAAAACGGAAACCTCTTTGCGTCTTCACCACAAAGCTGAGCTGCAAGTGTAGAAACGACATAATCACAACAATATGCGTGAGGGTTGCACCTTTCGGCTTGAATTGAAGAGCCTGCGGCCTACACCTGAAGGCCAGCCCTCTGTTTCGACATACGTCAGATGCAAGGGCCGTGAGGGATATGGCTGGCAGTTGAACTTCGGGCGGGGAGCACTCTGCTCGCGAAAAGCTGAAGAACCTACAAGGCTATGAACTCTACGCTCGTCCAAAAAGTTGAATGAACTGGCATGCCCTCGTAGAATTCAACAACACATAATCTCACAAAGCCCTGTGTATCCCCAGAAGAACCTCGCAACTCGGAAACTGATGATGACCACAGCAGCATTTGTACATGAACACTTGTCGTGAAGACACATCCAGTAGAAGGAAAAGCAAAAGAGAAGTAGTAATCGTAGTAGTAGCAGCAGCAGTAGTGGTAGTGTTAGTGGGAGTGGTAGTGGCAGTGGCAGTGGCAGTGTTAATGGTAGCGGTAGCGGTTGCAGCACTAGTAGTAGTCGTCGTCGTCGTAGTCGCCATGGCAGCAGCAGCAGCAGGAGTAGGAGCGGCAGCAGGAGCAGCAGCAGCAGCAGCAGTAGCAGGAGTAGTAGTAGTAGTAGTAGTAGTAGTAGTAGTAGTAGTAGTAGTAGTAGTAGTAGTAGTAGTAGTAGTAGTAGTAGTAGTAGTAGTAGTAGTAGTAGTAGTAGTAGTAGTAGTAGTAGTAGTAGTAGTAGTAGTAGTAGTAGTAGTAGTAGTAGTAGTAGTAGTAGTAGTAGTAGTAGTAGTAGTAGTAGTAGTAGTAGTAGTAGTAGTAGTAGTAGTAGTAGTAGTAGTAGTAGTAGTAGTAGTAGTAGTAGTAGTAGTAGTAGTAGTAGTATAGTAGTAGTAGCAGTAGTAGTAGTAATAATAATAGTAGCAGTAGTAGTCGTCGTCGTCGCAGTGGTACTAGTTATTGTAGTCGTCGTCATCGTCGTCGAAGAAATACAAGTTGTAGTCGTCGTCGTAGTAGTAGTATGTAGTAGTAGCAGCGGCAGTAGTGGTTGTTGCTGCTGCAGTACTTGTTGTTGAAGTCGGTGTAGTCGGCGGAGTCGGAGTAGGAGTAGTAGGAGTGGCAGCAGCAGCAGCAGCAGCAGGCGGTGGCAGGAGCAAGCAGTCGTACTGGCCGTATTCCATGACTTCAACACATCACCATCGGCATTATCATCATCAATAAACATCATCAGCTAGATCATGGCCATCATGTTCATGAAACTCACCTCCAGCAGACCCGGCGCTACACGACCGCCTCGAGGCAGACCCCTGGCAAGTGAAACAACAGATAGACAACAGGCTGTCAACGTGCTGCTTCGACCCTAGCGACACAACTCAACCCTGAGGAGCACGAGTGGAAGAAACGAGACGCAACCTCCAAAGCACTCAGTTCTTGCTTCGTTAAGGTTTGGGTGGCGGTTGCAGTAATCCGATCAAGCTCAACGTTCCAAAAAACCTGGTCTCTGACAAGGCAAGGCAGGCCCTGGCTTTCCCTGCTACTTGCTACTGGGATTGCGAGAAACCCTTGCGACACGCTTGACTCCGTTTGACCTGAGGTCTGGAAGCTACTTGCAAGTTCGACGTGTCATGCAACCTGCTCGCTGTTCTGAGATTCTAGGGGCACTTCAAAGCCAATCTAAAATCATAGGCTATACTCCCAAGCGCTAGAGCTCTTTGCAAACATGTTTTCGTGTACGAATCACCAGCGGTCCCGAGGGATCTATGAAACAGATCATTCCGTGATGCATGTCGCCCATCTCAGCAACTAACAGCCATGAGGCGTCTCACCTTTTGCGCAACTCACAGCCATCCCGAAAGAGCTATAAAACACCCGTTTCCACGACAGAAAGGTCCATAAGGAGCTATGAAACACGGGCCTGTTTCCGCAACTTACAGCGGGAGCATGCATCTCAGGGCGTGAGCGGCTTTAGAGGTCAGTGCAGCGCTCGACAGCAACGCTGCATCGTGCTGGCGGAAAGCAAAACCAAGCCCAAGCCGCGCGCCCTAGTTTTGAGCTTGACACACTGGTCTCCAACATACCGACGAAAACTTTGGTAGCCAGTCAATGGCTTCAGGGTGCAGCGATTTTCCGTGGACGTACGCACATCCAGAAACTGTACACCAAAACCCCAACACCAGTGGACTGCGGATGAAACCGAAATCGTCTGTGAACACAGCAGATGCTACATGTTACTCAAAACAAGCAACACGGTCATGGCAAGGTACAACCCACCCCGTCGCCCCTAGCCTGCTCAGGTCCTGAAGCATCTGCTCTTCCTGCTAGCTGACGACTTCCGGCGCAAGTTATAGGATGCGGGGTTGCGGGCTTCAGAGTCCAGAGCTTTACTTTGCAAAGGGGCGTTTGGCACAGAGAGTTGATGTCGGGCCCCGCAGCACTGTGCCGATTGTCGGCTTTTTTAGGTGTAGAGTGTATGCTCTGAGAATGGAGATCCAAGTCGTCTCGTCCTGGACAGGTCGAGAGGTCTTCTGTGCTTCCCATAAATCCTCTTTT